AATGTTCCATGTACTACAGTGCTGAAAATGCATTCCCGTTAAATTCTGTGCACACTGTGGACAGAGGCACACAAAGGAGTGCAAGTGACTTTCAATTTCTGATAGGAAAGATATGGAAACAACCTTCAAAGCCCTAAAAGTCAAGCCACCAATTGTTTCTAGCTTCCTATTAATGCATCCTGGAGTCCTAGATCCAGACCCTAGATGCTAAGGAATCAAGCCAACACCTGTCACAGAAACTGCTGGCATTTTATTTTGTTCAATATTAATTTAATTTATATTTTAACTGCTGTATTTTCATTTATATCATTGCTATGTGAAAACAACTATTTAAAAAGTATGGAATGTTCATATTGATTTCAGGAGCAAAGGGTCAATGTATTAAGCTGTTTAAGCATATAAGCCCAGTGTTTGGCACACAAAAGGCATTCTGGCCCTGCAGACTGCAGAATAAAGAACTGCTGGGAGAGAGGGGCTTCAGGAAACCAGCCCATGGACACCCAAGCTACCCAGCTAAGGTAGATGGAGATGGCTAAGGGGAAGTATGTCTTGGAGTGGAGGCACAGACCCAGAGTGGGGATAACTTTTAGTTGGAACCAGTTGCTTATATTTATGTTTTAAGTTTAATGCTGAAGGATTGGATTGTGGCTATAGGGAAGCATTGAAGGCCACATACCATGGTGCCTGGGGCACTTGGGATTTTAAGCCCTGCAAAGGGGGAAAGGAGAGCAGGAGTGAGACGGGCAGGCCAGAGGCTATGCCCTGAAAGTGAGAAACATTGGCAGGCCAGAGCCAAGAGGACTAGAGCCTGTGCCCTGAGAGACTGAGGCACAACAAATAAGAGGCTCAGAAGCCAGGTCAGAGGAAGTGACTCTAGGCTGGAAGTCTACAGATAGAGCAATTAGCAAGCTAAAGTGAAGAGGGCTGAAGCCTGTACAGGGCGCTGAAGAGTGATATCTCTGAAGCATGGGCATGGCTATATGGGAGGACAAAGGCCACAATTATCACCCCTAAGGCAGGTTTGTGCCCTAGGACACAGATAGGGCCAGGAAGGCCACAAGTTATCACCAGAGGGGAGTGACTGGTGCCAGCCAGGTACATGGATGATAGACAGCAGAGTGACTGAGGCACACTTTGGGGCAACCTCCTTAGGTATTTCCTTGAAGACTATATGATTTGGGAGGACTGGCAGAGGAGCTCCTCAGGGAGCAAAGATCACCTGCCGAAGCAAGGAGGCTAGGTAATCCACTTACCCCACATAATAGGCTAAAATTTGACAGAAAAGTAACTTTTAGTGTTCCACTGATGGCTCATGGATAATGTAAAATCCCAGAAATAATTTTAGAAAAATATTTCTGTTAACTTTCTCTTTACTCCTACAGGGGATTGCTGTTGGAAGAGTCTTTGCTCTTAAACAGACGCTTGGCTCAACTTCTTACTTTCACAAGAAATAACTCTGGAAGCAGTTCTGGAAGCCAATTAACAATATCCTTAATTTGAAACACATGAACACTACAATTGAAACCACTGACTACATACACGCTTCCATTTAGACCAGGGGTAAGGCAATGTTTTTGGCCAGAGTGCTGAAAAAACCACAATGTCTACCTTGTAAGGTGCTGGAGTAGCAGCATGCCAGAAAAATAAAACCAGTGGGGGTAGGGAGAGGAAGAGAGGAGGGGTACATGGCAAGACACGTTGCATATTGATATAGTTAATAATCATAAACGTTGCTTTTTTTTTAACACTCAATATCAGGTTTTCTAAAAATTCTAAACCTGGTAACAATAAATACAATATCATATACTACCTTGGTTGCGATACTCTTTTTTTATTAAGCATGTTGCGACTGTGGGGGCCGAGTATAGCCGGAATTGGGGCCGCACTGATGGAGTGGAATTAGGCACAAACGCGTACTGGTTGAATTGAAAATAACTTTACTTACAAACTGACGTACAGGGACTTGCGTCGATGCACACAGTGTAGGCACGCTCCGTTACAGGTTACAAGCAAAAGAAAGAAACCGGGTGGCACACCGATGTTTTCCGAGCATGCAGGGTGCGGGGTATGCCGGGACGGTCGGCGACGGGGAGTGGTTGGTGGTTGATCAGGCCTCCAATTTTGCTCCAAGGTACACGAGGAACTCGTTCCCAATGTACACGTGGAGTTCTCCAGCTTGGGAGGAAACTACCCAAGCTTTTATACGGCTAGTGAGCCAATTGCCAGCCACCGGGTATGAATAATTTACGATGAGCCAATCGGTAGCATGCATCCAAAGAGTGCAGCTGCTAGTTTTGGCGGGAGCTGATCACTGCACCAAGGCTTTTCCCGCTGTAGCGAGGCATCCCTTGCACCAAGTACTCGTATCATGCTAAGAATTCTGCTGTGTCGAGGCACTTTTAATTACTAAGTACAGACATGCCCCCTTGCCAATGACACAGCTGAAATTGGAGCACATGCGAGTTGGTCATGTCGTCGCCTTGCCCGAAGGGTTCATAAGGCAAATAGGTATGAACAAAGGTAGATAACGAAACAAGTTCGTTCTCTAAAGATCGGATTAAACAATAACCTAGCAGGACACAACTACACATTAACAAATTCATCACAAAAAGTTCAACCACAAGGATTTCGGTGGGTGTCATGATGACGTCGCACGTCGAGCCCTTGCTTCTTGGAGTATTCTTTCCCTCTTTCGTCCGGCTCCGGCACGCGTCCCGGATCTCAGACCTGTGGAGAAAGAAACTCTCTAGACAATTAACCAACTTATCTTACAAGATTATTTTAACAAGATTACTCGTCATCTAGCTTAACTGAATATCGAAAACCTAGCTCGTATGCTAGTCTCCATTGACTCTCATCTCCCAAAATTCGCAATTGCCGTTTCGTGAGTCCAGAATGCTGCAGGAGAAATCCTAACATTATCCGCTCCTCTAGTGTTCTTTGCAGCAACACGTGTGGTCGTCGCAAGCTGGACTTGTGCAGGCATACGGCGGATCGATGCTCCGAATCACTGGTTGTTTCTATGCCTGGCTTGATGAGAGCTTGCAATCATGGGAGTTGACACAAAAGATTACCTGCGGGCCGTCCAACTAGTGGGTTTCGAAGAATTCGGAGAATGGTGGTGGCTTTTCCTCTGTAAACCTCAATGCAGGCTTCCACACCGTTGAGCGTTATCGGGACAGCTCCAGGATCTTGCAGGTAACAGTGAGGCCACGGTCCTCTTTGCTGGGGTGGTGTCAGTCCCAGTGCACGTGTTCTAGGATTCCAAGTGCAGTACGAGATTCCAATCGTTGCCAGTAAGATTTGTTTTATATCAACCTTTAGTGGGCGACCTCCGTGCCACGCATAGGACTTGCGGCTAGCCTGATCTGCAACAAGCGCTGGAAGTGGGATGGGCCAGTGGACATTACACATCACTGTAGTAATATCGGTGGCGTGTCCTCCGCTCCACGAGGCTCGTCCAGTTAGAAAACTTGCCTTCTCTCTGTCCACTAGGTCGGACCCAAACTCCACAACCAGGCGTCCCAGCCACATAACCAAGGTTTCTTCAGGTCTCATCTTGGACTTCTTGCATAACTCTTGCAATTTCGTCCAGGTTTTGGCGTGACAGGTGTTGGCAGTGATACAAGCTGTACTCTGCGCACCAATCACTCGGCTTCTCGCTGCCACCGGATGTGTGGCCGTCTGAGACGTCGCCGCATCCGTTAGGGGAACCGGATACAGCTGCTTCTCCGTTGCCCCCTTGCTGTACTGGAAGGGCGGGGCAGTCAGGAGCAACGCAGCCTCATGGGGCGGAGTCATTGACTGAACTTCCACCCGTCCGTCGAGGGATCCGTCTTTCTCTTCCGGGCCCTCCGGGCAGCTCCCTTCCCTCTCGATGCCATCTTGAAATGCCGGGGGACCGGGGTTTTTTTCCGTTGCCGTCTGCTCAGCCGCCTGAACAGCAAGCAGTCGGGCTTCCAGGCCTGCCTTTTCCCGCACCAAAGTTATCATCATGCGGAACATTGCATTTAACATTTTCCCTTTTCCGTGTTCTGAGCCGGTCCTTCCAATCGCGGGGTGACTCTCCCCTTCTAGCTTTTCACAGAGCTCTGAAAGAAGCTTGGGATCTCTCAGCTCAGGCGCCAATGTTAAATTAATCAGTGCCGGCTCTTCGCCCTCCTGCGCGTAGCGCATGCAGCAGGCAAACTCCTGGCTGAGGGCAGTGCTTTCTTCGCTCGGCTTTGGTCCGGCGAAGGGTTCTGTGCCCCCTTCCTCTCGGGGTCTAAATAGAACCCGCTCACTTCCCATCACACATCCGAACGCCCCAGGATGGAGATGTACTTCCCACTCTTTCGCAGTTTCCTCTTCTCCTTTCAGCAAGAAGTAACCGCTGACGAGTCTTCCACCCGTTCCGACCGCTTGGTGGTAGGCGGTGTGTGCACTCAACTCCACGGCGTCCGCACGTGGCGGTTCCCATTGCGCCAGGGGCAATTCTTAACTAATTCCAACTCCATTGCGTCTTCCCCAGATACTGATCCTGTTCGTGACGCCATGTGGGGGCCAAGTATAGCCGGAATTGGGGCCGCACCGATGGAGTGGAATTAGGCACAAACGCGTACTGGTTGAATTGAAAAGAACTTTACTTACAAACTGAGTGTTGGTGGTTGGTGGTTGATCAGGCCTCCAATTTTGCCTCCAATTTTGCTCCAAGGTACACGAGGTACTTGTTCCCAATGTACACGTGGAGTTCTCCAGTTTGGGCGGAAACTACCCAAGCTTTTATACGGCTAGTGAGCCAATTGCCAGCCGCCGGGTATGAATAATTTACAATGAGCCAATCGGTAGCATGCATCCAAAGAGTGCAGCTGCTAGTTTTGGCGGGAGCTGATCACTGCACCAAGGCTTTTCCCGCCGTAGCAAGGCATCCCTTGCACCGAGTACTCGCATCGTGCTAAGAATTCTGCTGTGTCGAGGCACTTTTAATTACTAAGTACAGACAGTGACAACAGAAGGGGAAAAAAAGAAGAAAGAGAGAAAGAAGAGAAAAAGAGGAGAGAGAGAAAAGGAGACGAAAGAGAAAAAAAGGAGAGAAGAGAAAGAGAGAGAAAACCAGATACATGCAAGGAAACGCACACAGAGAACCCAATACACACATGCCCAGAACCAGACATGTGTGTATGCATGCACAGATACACAAAAACCAGACACACATGTGCAGACAAACACACAGAACCAGACACACAGATGTGCATGCACACACAGACGCACACAAAAATACCACATGCACACACACAGAACCAAACATGTGCATGCACATGCGCACACGCAAACCCCTCCTCCCCCCAAAGACACCCACGCATGCAGCCAGGCTGCTGGGCCACAGGACAAAGACCAACCTGACAATGCCCCAGGCCCACCACAGCCTCTATGCTTTCCCAAGGAGCCGGCTCCTGGGCTGCAGTGTGGCCTGCCGTGGCCCTGGCTCGGAGCCTGCCCATCAGCCAGCTGCCTCCTCCCTGGGGCGGGGGGTTACTGTGCTGGGCTAGGCTGAGCCCCCTGCCCTAGGGCTACAGCTGTGTTGCAACAAGAAGGAGGCAGCACCATAGGCTGGGAGGGGAGGGGAGTAGGGGCAGCACAATCCTGGCCCCGCAGCTCTCACCTTGGGCTGTCCTCTGCCAAGTGGTCTGAAGCAGCTGTAGCAGCCACAAGGAGCTTGGGAGATGGTGATGCTGCTCCCTGCTCCCCAACCATGGCTGTGCCTGGCACGGGGTGGCTGGCAGCCCTGTTTCCACTGCCCATCCTTTACTATTCCATACGCAGGCACATCCCCCAGGCAGCATGTGGGAGGATGCATCAGGGCAGGCTGGGCAGGGCTGCAGCAACCACCACCCAGTGTGGCTGGGGGGGGAAGCCTGCCCCTCTGATGATGGTACAGCGAGAGCCGCAGAAAGGGTTCCCCCACCCCTAATAGCTCCTCCTGAGGGCTCATCAGGCAGCATCTCCTCCTAAGTCTCTTGAAAGAGCCAGGAGTAGCAATTTAAAAACTTTTTTTTTTTTTTTTTTTAACAATTTGCTCAGCACACCTCCTGGCATGCCGAGGAAAATGTCTTCATGTGCCAGTAAGTGGAACGTGTGCTGAGGGTTGCCTACCCCTGATTTAGACCATGCATAAACACCTTCCTAAACTGGAGAATTTACTTTAACTTCATAATTATTTGACAGGGAGAGGATTATGACATAGCACATAAAAGGATTACAATTTTAGGTGAGGGGAAAAAGAAACAGGAATAGACACATTCTTAAGTTTAAAAAATTTCTGTTTCCATATAAATACTTCTATAAGAGTTCAAAAGGGAAGAAAATAATCTAGAGACTAAAAGACATCCAAGAGCAATGATTTCCAGCATGTTTCACCAAAGTTTTCCATGTGATATAAGTCCTTCTATACAGTTAAAACAGATCAAGAAAAAAAAATGTTAAGCCTGGCAATATTTTTTTTTCATTTTTAAAACACAGTTATATATTTGCTTTTGTGCCAAGACATTGGTATGCCAAGTTATAAACTCCTGGAAAATGGGACTTGTAATGAAATAACATGAGGAAAAAAAACTTAGAGCAAATCACTTGGTACACATCCAAATTTTCCTTTGCAGATCTAAAATTTGAACTTAAAATCCTCACAAAAACAAATCTGAATTAAAATGTCACATATAAAACACAAAACCATAAAAAGAGGCATGTTAATAAAAAAGCCACAGTAGATTTGTTGGTTACAATTTATACTATAAAACTGTATCATATTTAAATACTGTTATCTGCTTCATTCATCCATTTTTAAGAGCAAAATCTGGCAAATAGACCATCATTACACACTTGTATGGAAGTATTATGCATGAGGTCAGATCATTTCTGTACAATTAATTTTCTCTATATATGGTGTGTACATTTTAATATGAGCACAGATGCAACACTGGTTCTTAAGATTCAACAGTTAGTGTAAACAATGCCAAGAAGGGAAATCTGATGTACTGGGTACGTTCCCTGCCTGCTCTAGGATTCAGCAACTCCGAAGAATCCATGGTCACGAAGATTAAAGCACTGGAAAGAGCATATCAACTTCCTTACAGGCAAGAGGTGAATGTTCCTGCTTATCTTCATTTTCTTTAAAAAATAAATAAAAAGATAAGTGCAAAAAGACGCATTTACATTGTGTACGATTAGAGCAGAGCTGTAACATTAATGCTTGATCATTCATTTCTTTCAATAAACTTGTCTCATAAGAAACTAATACCTTCTAATTTACAAGCTTTATTTTAAAAGAAATAAATAATGCTTCAAGGTCACGATCCTGAAACACTTCTGCAGGCAAACTGTGCAAGAAAGTTTTGTCTTGATGAATTATATTTAAAGAACCTTACGGCAGGGACTCATCTGCCACAGGCAGCACTGAGCATGTTAATATAGTAAGTCAATGGGACTACTGCCTGTGTAAATACTGTATCTTTAAGGGTCAACAGTCTAGTCAGTGTAATCCAGTGTGAACATACGTCACTAGGAGTCTACAGGAAGTTACATTCAGAGAATTATTTTTTTTAAATACACCTGAAAAAAAATGGAGGAATTACACCAAAACAACAAAGTGACAAGGATGTTAAGAGGTTTCCTTTTTAGTCTACAGTTAAGCAAGGTTTTAGATATTTGGAAGTGCGTGGCTGTGTTGGCTATCTGCAAATCTCCAGAAGTTTGCCATCTAGAGAAGTATAGCAACCTACTCAAAGTGTTTCTTGAAGCGTGTTGTGCAATTAATTGTGGAGGTGCAGGTTGTAACTCTCAAATTACAGAGGATTTTTTATACTTAAAGCAAGAAATACACCTTTTTCTTAGGTGTAACGTAGTGTACTTTCTTCAAATTTACAACACTTAATCTTTAAATATATTTTTTAAACTAAAAGGATTTTTAAAAATGAAATAAACAAAATCCCTTTTATTATTATCTGTACTATAGTCCTGCTAAGAGGCCCCATCACACTAGGTAATGTTCACTCACGTACTAAGAGAGACTTCCCACCCTGGAGAGCCTACACTCTAAAAAGATAAAATAGATTAAGATTAGAGGGAAACAGGCAGAGATACTTGCGACCACAGAGCAGGTCAGTAGCAGAATCCTTTGAGTATTAAGCTAATGAACCATTCACTTAATATGGCTCAATAATTTCCCTCTTCAAAATTTAAACAATTTTTAATTTATTTCACTGGCAATTTTCAATTTCATTTTTTTTAAATTAACCCTCAGACTTCATCCATAGCTACCTTGCCAATCACTTTCAGTAGGTTGTCAGGCAATAGAATTTGTAGTTACATGTTAGTGACTCTTATGGCTCTAACTGATAACTTCAGTTGAAATTTATAAAATTCTAGTAAATATGTTGCAGTTTTTCAAGTCATTTTCATTCCTCCCTTCCATGGAAATGAACACTGTATTGGAACACATCTAGTAAGTATTTTAACAAAGCTGTAATGTCTTCCTAAAGTACCTCTTTTCTAGATATTTATTTCTATACTGTCTGTTTGTCTGTTCCTAAAAAAAAAGGAACAGAGTCACAGCCAGCTGGAGAGTTATTTAAACTCTTATAAATTCAGCTGGTACTGCTGACTGCGATCTGCTCTATTTTTCAAGGAGTTTCTAAGGGACCTGATCTTGCAAGGTGCTGAAATTCCTCAACCTCACAGACACAAGCTGAAAAATACTGCACAGGATTGGGGCACAAAATCTGAAAAGTATTACTGATAAAAAAGATCTATTTTAAAATACAGAAAACACAAAGATATTCTCCTGAGTATATTCTCCCTTTTACAGGCAAAACAGTCACTCATCATCTAGCTACAGAAATTGATTACCTTATTACTTATTGAGGGTTGTTTTCCCCCATTCAACATCGATGGGAAAAGCCCCTTTGCACTGGATTTGAGTAACCCTGACCTGGGCTGAGCTGTGGCTGCCGTCTTCCTTCACCTGCCCCACACCACCTCTGCCCCTACACCCCATCCCTACAACTACCTGCCCCCTATCATGGCTCCAGCCCAGGACATAGAGCACATGCTGGCTCTGCCCCTGCCCAGACTGGGAGCAGCAACACCAGTGGTGGCACCTCTGGTCCCAACTCCAGCTCTGAGCCAGTCCCACTGCTTGCCTCTCTCCCACTGATTTCCCTGCTTCTGAGGTGGAGAAGAGGGGATGAATTTAAGATGCTCTCCCAATTATTAGATTCTATACATATACATTGATAACAAATATGTATTTTTTCCGTGTGTACAATATAATTATCCGAGGGTCGTCTTAAATCTGGTCACCTTGGATTCAAGTAAATATGGTAAATAAAGGGGGACTTGAAGGAGTGCATCACAAAATGACCAAGTAATCTGAATGTGGACAGTTATATGAGAAAACCCAGCCAAGCCGATATTTCCTTTCATAACATTTGTATTAAACATATCAGCTATTATTTTACTCAAAGATCTGAAACTAGTTTAAAAGCTAAATATTTCTACCAATTTTTGAAATATTACATTGTGCAAATAAACAAGCTTATGAGTACAAATGCAGGGTTGTGGAAGCATCAACTATGAATAAAAAACTGTTTCTTATAGTCTTACCTTATTTCAAAAGCTCAAGTAAATAGATCTCAACAGGTTACTGGGGTTTAAAGAAGCATTATGGTTATGGCATCCGTTTATCAGTGAGTAATGGTGGATATTGCAGCTATTCTACTGACTGGTGGTGCATTTTCTCTTGTGACTACAGAGATCAATGTTAGATTTGTAGGTCCTGCCATGGGGTCCCAGGTGTACAGTAGCCATGGCATTAGGGCTACTGTACTGACAGGCTGTTTCCTTCAGTCACATTTCTGTTGTAATTTGAGTGACCATTTCTCATTGTGATGTGGAACTCCGTAATTGAGAAGGGAGTGCCACTTTGTCCTGTCTCCGGCTAAGGCCTCCCAAAGGTTTGGGTTGATTCCAAAAGCTTTCATATCCTGCTTGTAGACATCTTTGAAGCACAATTTTTGGGTGCTCTACTCTTCTCTTCCCACCTGCAATTTGCCCATACAGGATGTCCTTCAGGATGCATCCATCTTCCATCCTGCAGAGATGGCCAAGCCAGCATAGGCACCACTGTTTGAGTAGTGCAGTGATGGTGGCTTTGGTAATGATGACCTTTGTGTTGGTGATTCTATCTTACCACTTGATGTGAAGGATGCACCATAAACAGCATAGGTGAAAGCTGTTCTGCTTCTTTTTTTGATATGCATAGGTTGACCATGGCTCACTGCTATACATAAGGACATTGAGGATGCAGACTTTGTACACAAGCAGTTTAGTTTTGATTGTGAGTTTTGTATTGTTCCGGACTCGTTTGGAGAGCTTACTGAAAGTGGTAGCTGCCTTTCCAATGTGTACAATTAGCTCTTCATCCAGTGATAGGTTGTCACTCACTGTAGATCTAAGGTAGCAGAACTTGTTCGCTGTCTCAGGAGGTGTGTTGTCAAGGCTGATAGTGACTATCATAGGACCACAGTCTTCTTGATGCAGATGGTCAGGGCAAACATCCTGAAAGCATGGGAGAGGCAATTCATGAGTATTTGTAGTTGGCCTTCTTCATGGGCACTGAATGCAGTGCTATCAACAAAAAGGAGGACCCTAATAAGTATGCACCTCACTTTTGTCTTGGACATTAGACGTAATGGATTGTAGAGTTTGCCATCTGATCTTGTTTGAAGTTATATGCCTTCCTCCAAGTCAATCAAAAGTACAGCACAGCAGCATAGAAAAGAAGATCCCAAAGAGTGTAGGTGCCAGAACACAACTCTGCTTCACTCCACTCTTCATCTCAACCTGTCAGAAGCTGATCCATCAAACTGAACTGTGGACTGCATGTTTTCATGGAAGAAGTGTATCATGTTGAGTCATCTTGCGGGGCATCTAATCTTTACCAGGACCTTGAACAAACCTCTTCTGCTGACATTGTTGAAGGCTTTCATCGGGTTGACAAATGCTACGTACAGTGACTTATTTTGTTCTCTGCATTTTTCTTGTAGTTGGTGAAGGAGAATATCATGTTCACTGTTGATCTCCCTGCTCTGAATCCACACTGTGATTCCAGGTAGACACGGTCAGCAAGTTGTTGCAAGCGTTTCAAGATGACTCTGGTAAAAGCCTTGCCTGTGACTCTGAGGACAGAGAGTGTTGCAGTTGCCCTTGTCCTTGCAGAGAGTGATGATGTTAGCATCATGTATGTCCTGGGGTATTTGACCTTCCTTCCAGCAACATACTAGGAGTTGATGAAGATGTGGTAGCAGGCTAGCCTTCCCGCATTTGAGAACCTCAGCTGGAATGCCATCCTCCCCTGGTGCTTTTCTGCTTCCTAGAGAGTCTGTGGCCTTGCTAAGTTCTTCAGCTGTAGGTTCTCTGTCTAGGTGTACCAGTACACTTGGAAGGTGATCCAGTGCCTCTTCTAAAATGTCTGTTTCACAGGAGTAAAGCTCTAAGTAATGCTTGACCCAGTGTGACATCTGATAGTTCTTTTCAGTGACTTTTACTTTGCCCTCTTGAGACTTAAAGGGGGGGTGACTTAAGTGACAATTGGGCCAAGGGCTTCGCCAGGCTGTCATAATTCGCAGGTTTCCTGTGTCTGAGACAAACTGTACTGGTTTGTGCTGCGTCTTGCTGTTTTCTGTACCACTGCCCTGGCATGCTTAAGTTTAGCCTTGAAACTTTCTGTTAGATTCTAGTTGTATTACAAGCAGGCTGTGTTCTTGACTTCAACAAGTAGTAGCATCTCTTCCGAGTATGCCTCAAACCAGTCTTTATTTGACAATTTCTTTTTCCAAAATACTTCTGTGGCTGTTTCTTGGATGACTGGTCTTAGTCTACTCCAAGTTCCTTCAGCATTTGCAGATGTTGCTTTCATAGACAAAGCTAATTCAAAGGTCCTTTGAAAGTCAAGGCACTTGCTTTGGACCTTTGGGCTGTGTGAGTAACTTCTTGGCTGACTCTGGTACTTGGCTTTATGCAGCTTCTTTGGTATCACTTTCACTTTGCTGACAGTAAGAAAGTGGTCTGTGTCACAGTCTGCCCTGTGGTAAGTGTAGGTGCATAGCACA